ACTTTAAGAATCAATGCCTATCAATGCTGGCCATTTAGGCAATTATTACTATTATACTAAAATGCAAAAAAAACCCCACATTAGCAATATTTTTTCAAGCCCCTAGGAAGACCGAGGTACCTCATTAAAGGCTATCTTTGTTCGACTTGACTGCACTGTTTCCTGTTAGCTACTTTTTGGATGGCAGGAAGTTCGAGGAATGTCCCAAGTTTCTTGTTCGAGAGAAGAAAAAAAGCCTAAAAGCTGTCAAAAATGTACCTTCCAGTGACAACTCTAGATTAACCTAAAATATTTATTTTTATTTCAAATGCATTGTTAAATTGCATTTCATACACAACGTATTGTTTTAATTAGGTTTAAAGTAAAAGGATATTAATCTTAATGTCTTGGCAAACCACATTTTTCTGACAACGTAACATCATCTCACCATGTGCTGCACTCTTATTGGCTCATGTCTCCATGGCAGCTGAGGACTTTGATGTAAAAATACCAACTGGCTCAGTGGAATGATCCAGATGAGGGGAAGTGTGTGGTAATGTGAAGTGCTAATACCGTTTTAGTTATGTTATTAGTCTAAATCCTGTTAGCTTTCTGTGGATTTGCAATGCTTGCAGCTTCATCGTGTTACACAAAGCTGTGCCATTTGGGAGGTTTTGTCTTTTTCTCAGCTTCCATCTTTTGTCCTGTTGAAGGGCTTTTTTATGGAATTAATTTATAAACAAAAAACAATTGAATTGAAAAATTAAACAATACCTCTGAATCTGACACTCATTTCTAAGATTAAAAAAACACACTTATAAAAAATGAGTTTGACACCCCTGTTTTATACACCTGGCAATTCTTGAGTGACAGTGAGGAGTAAAAATACTTTCTTTAAACGGGAAGAGATCTCCAGCAAATCTGCACTTGAGAGTGTAAAGCTGTCTGTCTTGGCCAAAAGCAGATGTGCGAAGAGGATAATGGTGGAGACAGCGGAGGTAAGAAAAAAGAGGTGGAGAGAGGAGTAAGGGTGGAGAATGGAGATGGCGCAGCAGATACACAACATATCAACACTTCGTAAGTTAGCCGTACTTACAGGACATTAGGGGAAACTATTCAAAACATATTGGGAGGATAAAAAAATAAATACAGTACTAAAGTATTTACAACAGAGTCAATTATTTTTCAGTCGTTCTATCTTATGTTGGGTCTTCCCTTTTGGAGATGCACTGATCTTGTATTAAGATCTGATATCTGTTTTCATGTTGACTAAATCGTTAGATCGGACATTTGGTAATGGAAATGCAGTAGATGACAAAAATAGTCAACAAAATGGAGTTTGGAAAAGAGTCAGCTGCATAGCTGAATTCCGATAAAGAGATACATACATACAAGAAAGCGAAGGAAGGTGACAACACAACAAAGTACAGGGGGTCCTCGACTTACTCGACGTACTCAGGGCACGGTCCCTTTTTGCGACGTGAGCCTTATTGAAGGAAAAAAAGTTTTTAAAAAAAAGTATGGCGTACTGCAGACGAAAATAAAAACAGAACAAGGGAACAAGGGACCAAAGAACAAGACTTTCTTAATGCCATCGGTTCAGGACGTTGTAAATTAGGGAAAGCAGTGTAAAGATGGGAAACCTTCAACCGATAGCATAAAGATTCTAAAGAAGAACGCAAACATTTTTGTGGCAACACTTGTCAATGGGAAAAAATGAAAATTCAACTATTTCAACACTTTGAGCGTAGGGACAGTTTGCCATGACATATGTCACAATGTTAATATTGTACGTCATCAAGAATATTGCACGTCATCAAAATAACATCGTTTGACCACGAGATGGCGCCAACGTCATAAAAACATCTCTATGAAAGGTGAAACTTCAACAGATCACTGTTTCACACATACTTTGTAAAAAAGTTAAAAGCATGTTCATATATGTTGTGATTTTTTTTGCATTTCAGCATAAATGTGGGGGCGGGGTTATTGTCATATGAAAAAATAAGCAGAAGCACAGAAACCGCACTGAACCACATCTGAAACGATGTAGTGATGCGTCCGACCACAGTTGTAGATACTGTGTGAATCCACACCTTGAGGGTGTCCATTTCCCAACGGTTTATTTGACTGAAAACACATTTTAATTTTAGCTGAGAGAAGATTAAAAAAAGGGACAATTTTTCTTACCATTGCTGTTCCTGTCACTGGGCCCTGCCACAGCTGGCTCTTCCTGCTCTCCCCTCCTTATCTCCCTCCACCTCCCTGCCCTCCTCTGTCCTCCTGCTCCACCTTCTTCCTGTCCCTCTGGCAGGACTGCAGCCTCAGGCACCGACTCGAAAGCACTCTCTTCATCTTCTTCTTCATCCTGCGAGGAGAAGATGGTGCTCCCGGACAGTCGGTTGCTGTCCACGGAGGAGAGGCGCGTGTGGCTGCAGAAACGGCCACGCCCCTCGTAGCCTGAGTTGCTGTAGCATGACGTACTGTAACAGGAAGTGCTGTAGCAGGAGGTGCTGTAGCAGGATGTGTCGCAGAACTCGCAGTCATTTTCACCTGGAGGTCTTTGTGTGCTTTGTGCACCAACTCTTCTACCTACTCCAACTCCTCCGTTACTAGAATCCCCCTCTTCGCTCTCTAAGCAGGAGGGAGAAATCCTTCTCACGGCTTCATGTACTCCCCCCTCACCCTCCAGCAGCTGGTTAAGTTCAGAAAGACGTTCAATGGAGAGGCTGCGTGGAAGAGTACGACGACAGCAGGGACCTGGACACTCTGGAACCTGCAGTTATTTAGACAAATAACTGTAGTATTAGTAGTTCATTTGTATACTGTAAAGGTGTGTATAAACACAGACAACCAACAAATACTTTCCTTTTTTGTCTGACTGTGTCAAGAACTAGTTTGTGTCTCCTGCATTTACCATAGTCAATTATTAAAATATAAAATTTTAAGTATGTTCTACCACTGCTGTGTTAATTATATGTCCTACGATACGCAGATGACACTCTGTTCTACAATTACATTAAACCTAACAAATCCATAATAGAGTTAAAAAAACTACTTGTCATTGTGACACAGCACACCACGAAATCCAAGCTCACCATTTGTATAATGAGTAACAGCATAACCTAATCTGTCACATAAAACACCCATTATCCAACCAAGCATGCCAGCTGAACAGCTACGGTTTTTTTTTGGATGTAGTGCATCAGATGTTCTTTCAGATGTAGTGCAGATGTAGTACCTATTATATAGGTATCGGTTGATATCAGAATTGGAAAAAGTGTTTAGATAATATCGGCATGTCAGATATCAACAAAGAGCTAATATCGGATATTCCTAATATATACAGTATATACTGTATTTACATGTTGTCACTTCAATGAAATAGAAATCAGCCAAAATCAATAATGACAAGGCACAAGAATCGGCCCAAAAAAATTGCAATTGGTGCATTAAAGTCATGGTATGCCTCCTGTTTGATTCCTTAACACAACAGTAATCGTTCTGATTCTCTACTTTTTTTTTTTGTATTTTTTGCGTGCAAAGTACAAAGCTACCTGAGAAGGAGAGTGGGTTGTGTCCTCCTCTTCCTCCTCCTCCTGTCTTTCCACCTCGCCATCTTTTGAGGTTTTGATCGTAGGTGACAGTCCATTGGTTTCCTGAGTCTTATCTGAAGAATCTTCCTCCCCTGTCACCTCCTCGTCCTGGCTGGGAGGTCTGCATTGTGCCGAGGGAAGGCTATGAAGAAGGTGATGAATGCGAATGTAGTGGGATCGTGGTGTTTCCGGTTCGCCACAGGATGAGGCGATCACTGTCTCCAGCTCGGAAACCGGAAGGGAACAGGGCCGGTTTTTGCGTCGTGAAGGACTGCTTGCAAAGAGGGAGTTGCAGGTGCTGCTCCTCTCCACTCCATCCGTCACCTCCGGAGGCGCACATCCCTCTAGATCCTTTGGAGCCTCTTGGGTTGCACTGGTTTCTTCCGTAGAAGCCCCAATAGTGGCTGCTCCATTATTTGTGGTCGCAGGAGTGTCAGAGCCTTGTTTTTGTTGGCTTTCCTGTCCAGACCCTTCATCTTCTTCTGTCACCTCCAAAGACTGCGGTGCACACTCTTCTCTGTGCTCTTCCTCTTCTCTCTCCTCCTGAGTTGCCGTTGCCGTTTCTCCACCCTCCGGTTTTACTTCCACATTGCTCAGCACCTCCTGGTGCTGCTGAGCTGCAGCTCCCTCCTCCTCCTCCACCTGAGGCTCAGTGGACTCAGGCTCCCTTATGGTGCTCTCGTGCTGCTCCTCCACCCTGAGGTCGGGATGTACCTCTGGTGACACAGTCACTTCTTTCTGGGGAGCAGGTGGGACCTCCTCAGGCGTTGTTATGTCAAGTGTGGAAGCTGGTGGTGCAGTGGTGTCAGGGGTGGGTGGAACATCCAGGGGGAGGTCGGGCATGTCTGGTCCTACACTCAGTGTGTCGTCATCAGGTGCATTAGCTGCATGGTTGACATCTGCTGCATTTCCTCCCTCTGGACATGCCGCCTCTATGACCAGTGAAACCTCTTCATCATCTAAGGGAAGAAGAACTACTGTGTCAGTAATGGAAAAACACACTAAACCTGAACCTTATTTTTATTTTACAAAAACAAAGTTATTCAGCATGAATAACTGTCAGTCGTACAATAAAGCCACTGATTATAGTGAACAGTTTTCTCAAGTGCATTACATTGTCAATAGAGATGCCTTGTGTACCTGGGTGAATAGAGGAGGTCAGCTCAAAGCGGAACTGCAGCTGCCCGCAGACATGATCTGTCGGCAATCTGCGGCCAAGAGAGTAACTTACTACCCGATCCCTGTGCACAGCGAGTGTGAGAAGGAGGGTGAGAGAAAAAGAGTGGTGAATCAGAGAAGGACCTTGGAATACCTCAAACAACTGACTACACCCATGAATGCATGTTTGTATGTGTGTGTTTACCCAATGGCGTGTTTTTCCAAAAGCCTCTGCACGGGGACCGACAGCTTTCCCAGGAAACGCTTGATAATTGGTCGACTCTTGGCAAACTTGTCCTTTACCTCGATCTCCAGGACATCGGTTGGCAGAGACACGAAACTGAACCTCTGGGGGAATCAGACACATGGAGAGGGAGGGTTAGTTGAGAACAACAATACACATGGACTGGATTTAGAAGAGGCTACAATTTCATATGAATGAGTCAACAAAGCCAAACAACTTTGTCTCTCAGGATGTTTTTTGGCAGTTACTATTTTTATCCACAAATTTCCTATTTCAGTGTTTTTGGCAGTGTTTTTTTTGTTTTTTTTATCCACAAATTTCCTATTTCAGTTAAATTAAGTGGTCTTTCTTAATAATAATAATAATATTAATTTGAACTTTATTGATCCCATTGATCCCAAATGTGTTTTGTGTTAACAATAGATCTGCTGTAACAGGCTGCCCCTGGCAATGTGTTTCCCAAAAAGTGTTTTATGTTCACAATAGATCTGCTGTAACAGGCCAAGTATGTGGTTCCTCTGGGAATCAAACCCAGGACTCCCTGCTTCCAAGGAAGGCGTACTGACCGCTACACTGTGGAACCGACCTTGAACTTCATTGATCCCATATTTGGGAAATTCTTGTATTAACAGCGGATCTGCTGCAACAGGCTTCCCCTGGCAGGCGCCAAGCATGTGGTTTCTCTGGAAATTGAACCCAACTCTCTGCTCTCTGCTTCCGAGGCAGGCATGCGAAGCGCTACACTATGAAACTGACAGTGACTAGAGTGACTAAGAGGATCTCACAAAATACAGAGTGTGATCTGATCTAGGACATATAAACATCACATGAGTCCGACTTGTGCTTGAGAAAAAGAAAAACACAAATGAGTGAAAGCAAAAGTAGCACAATCCAATTTAAGGTGTGCAACCAGTGAATGTAAACAAAGCTGTCTTCTGCATAAAGGTGCATTTGCTTGCTCACTAGTACCTGTGCAAACTAGCTGGTGAGTTCTAACAGAAAAAGTTTTAATGGAGACAGACTTTCTTAAATGTAATATATTTATGGGAAATGGCAAACCAAAACACTTCCTCGGATATGCAAAGTTAGCGATGGAGCATACAGTGCCACATCCGTCTTTACAAATCAATCAGAACTAGGGACGTCCGACCAGCCTGATAATAGCATATTTAAAGTATGTAATATCTGCAAGAATTACCTTCGATAATGGTAACCTGATTATGCAATAACTGGGTTTCGCAAAATATGCTGAAATCGCTTGGGTGGTATTTAGACGTTAACCAAGGTTTTGAGGGAAAACGGCTGCATATATCGGTATTGGTTGATATCGGAAGTGTATGGACTATATCGCTAATATTGGATATTAGCAAAAAGTTAAAATTGGACATCCCTAATGAGAACATTAATACAAAAGAGCCTCATTTGAAATATAACTCTGTTTTTATGTATGGGTTTCTACAAGGTCACCTTATTCTTCCTCTCTCAAGCTTGATTAAAATGTCGCAGCTTGTATAACAACATTTTTAGTCAAATCCAGATGGGGGCCGCCTTTATACTAGATGGTTTTTAAAATATAAATATATGTATATTTTATATGTCCTGTTTTCTAAAAATAAAATAAATCCCTTTTGACCTTTAAATTAAATATGTTTTATTATTTATTTTTTAGTTTAAGCCAATGTTTTTCAAACTTGGGGTTGCAACACCACGTAGGGTCACCTGATCAAAAACTAACTAAACTATAAAAAAATGTCTGTGGGGTCACCTGAAATTTGGGATGTCAAATGGGGTCACAAGCCACTGGTTTAGCATAAGACCTAAGGTCTCTAACTTCACCTTAAGTATTCATTTCTTCAGCCTTTGTTGGACTCATTCAAACAGTGGAGGATTTTCACTGTGTTTATGCGGAAAGACGACCTGAATACTAAGATTGAGTTTTATCTCTTTGTGTGAATGAGATAAATATGGCAGCGTGGTTCTCACAGGGTGGAGAGGACATCAATTATTTACTAGATGCAGGAAAATGCAGCGCACATAAAACAACTGCTGTTGCAGCAACAGCTTACAGTATTATATCCTTAGGAAAAGGACATCATGACAGTGTGCAAGAAGCGATGAAAGACAGGGAAACATAATTTAATTTGGACTGACTGAAAAATGTCTTTCTCTCCTTGTAATGCAGCTGTATAGGTTATACAGTGCACAAACACACTTTTCTTTATAATAAATGTATGAATTTCTGTCTTCACTTCAAGTAAGATCCCTTTTCTTGTTATTTTTTCGGTCTGAAGCTCAGTAGAGGTGTAATTTTCTCGAGGCCTCATCACTTACGTTACAGTGTCTATGTCAAGATTGATTTCTCTACCAGAGTCATATTGTTTTCCTGGAAAAGTTCTTGAATGAGAAAACCAATCACCTGACGTAGGTGACCACATTCAAACATGATTTTTCTGATTTACATTGATCTTTTTACTATATTACATACACAGAGCATCCATACCTGCCATTCGGTTGGCTGGCGCACTATAATTGCTCCTAAGCTGTATGTAATATATGCAAGTAAAAGTAAAAAAAAAGCACATTAGTACCTATGTCAGTTAACCTAACAGTTAAAATAGTCCTGAAAAAAAAATTGGTCTCAAATACTTTTAAGTTTGCCTTAATAAGTGTAAGTGAACGACATGTCACTGTGACACAGCACACCACTGCACACAAGGAAATGTGACCTCATTTTACCCATCATCATAGTGAGCAGGGGGCAGCTTAAGGACCCTTGGAGCAGTGTGTGGGGACGGTACCATGCTCAGAGCGCCTTAGTGGAAACTTGGCAGCTGGTGGATTCAAACCTGAAATCTTCCCGACCCAAGTACACTTCCTTAACCACCATGCTACCACTTGATTTATAATAATTCCAGAAATATATATATATATTCTATGTTACAATCTTTAAAGTTTGAGCTATGTTCACTTAGCAACCAAGGCTTACAATTACTCAATTATTGCCCCCGGTGATTCAAAATTTGGACAAAGGCACAATAGAATTACAAATAGTAGAACAAAAAATGTCCAAGGTTATTAATCAACTATACATTATGAAGTTAGCTTCAGATTTTGAATTTTTGAAGCATTGCTTTTTTACTGATCAAAGTTGGGGGCAACAGAATGAATGTCACAGGTTCACAGTCATAATGTCATAAAAGACGAGCCTGTGTGTGTGTGTATGTGTGTGTTTGTACCTCTGTGCTCCACTGCGGGTTTATTGTGTTGCACACCACTCTGGAGCGTTTCTCCTGTCCGTGGTGTGGGAGCGAGGGGAAGATGCTGTGCTTCCCAGGCTGAATGGAGAGCTTTAGGTAAGGGTCAGGGTTGAAGAACATGCCCTTCTTCAGTCCCACTGCCTGGAGGTCTGATAGGAAAAAGTTTTTTTTTAGTGTTCAGGTTCACAGAAAGTAAACTACAGGCCTTAATGAAAAAAAAAATGAAACTATAGGATTTACAGTGGTGACTGATAACTGTCACTGAGCATTTCTAAATTAGTCTTAAACACAAATATCAAATAAACGTAATGAGACGTAATGGTAGCAATGTTTTATCAGAGCAAGAAACAACCATTGTACTTGTGTGCAGATATGGCTATAATCACATCGTAGAAGCACATATTAAATAAGTCAGGAAGTAAAAAAGACAGCTACAGGTTGGGCCAAAGCTAATGAATAAACACAACCAGTGAAATAAAATTAAAAAAAAAAATGTAGACAATAGACAGATAGAAAGAGACAGGGAAGCGAAGAATACCTGAAAGCGAAAAGTTAATGAGTCTCCTGTTGCTGAGACCATGGTTAACCTCAGGACTAACCACTGGCTTTAACACCTGCAAGCACAGACAGATGGACAGACGGATAATGTATGAATTTAAACAACAACATAAAAATACACTCAGCCTTCCTTTGTCTTCTACACCATAGACTTCCATTCTTTCCTGTAAGATGATCCTGTAATGAAGCCCATGAGGCTAGGGGTCACTACAGCTAGTTAATGGTACTTTATGCAAGTAGCAAACAACATCAGGCTTTGAATTGTATTAAAAACACAACAGAAACAGAAATGTATTATTTTAAATCCTAAGTATATGTCAGTTTACATTTGGCCAATTCATCCAATCTCTATTCCTCACGTTGTTCTTTTCTGGCTAACAGCATCCGGCAATCAATACTTGGCCTTTATTATCCTGACATTGATTCTTGAGCCAGGAAGAGGAGTAGCTGGAGCGGTGAGACAGAGAGAGACAGCGGTGAAAGGATGAGAGTGTAAATACTGCGCTGTTTTCGAATAGACGGTGTTGCCTGACATCTCCTAAGCACGTAGCCCTGTGAAGTAACACAGCAACAGAGGATGTTGCTTTGCGTACAGTTTTCGTAAGCTGTCCTAAAGGTTAAGTGTGGTTTGTGAATTTGTTAGTAACTCAGACTAACATTGAGTAAAGAGGTTTAAAAAAAATGAATCAAGATGAGCGGTGACTCCAAAGCCTTTTAAGCAGGGTTCTCAAACTCAGATGAGCAGAAGGCCATTCCTGCCTTTTCACATTAGTATTTACTTTTTAATACAAATCTAAAAAGAATAAGTAGTGCTCGTTTTATAAATATAACGTATAAAAACTACAGCAAAAACAGGGAGAACAAACCTTAAAACACATTTTGAAACGACCAACTGGAGTTTGGCAGCCATGTTTTAAAGGAATGACTATTGTTGAAAATAAAGTACCCTAACCTTTTTTTAAAAAAAAAAAAAGATAAGAATTGCATCTATCATTTCAAAAATGTTTTTCTTTTATAGCAATGTCAGAGTAATTAAATTTAAGATGAGAATTTCTTCTGATAACAATAGATAAAAAATAAAGAATTTTACCACAGATTTTATTCAGAGACTCTAGCAATTGCACCTACAATATGATACACCTATAATATACATGTGTACAAAGGTTCATCCTCTTGTTCTTCTTCTTTTAGGATGTTCCCTTCAGGGGGCACCAGAGTGGAGCATCTGCCTCCATCTCACCCTATCACCTGCCTCTTCTGCTTTTACACCAACCACCTCCGTATCTTCAGAAGGCTCATCTAGTAGATATTAAAAAAAGACTTAAGATACCAAAGTAAAATAACACATTTTAATTTGAATGTGTTTAATCCTAAGGGGGCTCCAAAAATCTGAAGGAAAACAAGAAAAAATAATAAAATGATCCAATTGTTCTAGAAGCGAATGCGATTGGGTGGGTGGGCCATTGGCATGGAAAATTTGGAAACCCTTATAGACTATTATTAAGTTGCTGCCATGTTTTATTACAGCAAGAGTCGACCGTTGTAGTGGTGTCGGCAGAGATGGTTGTAATCACATCTTAGAAGCACATATTGAATAAGCTGAAATATGCCTGTGCACCCTGTAGGATGAGACACACACTTTTCAGTCAAGGGGTGTTGTGTTTTTACAAAATGACTTCATCTGATTACTGTTCTAGAAAAACAAGCCTCTTAACTCTCTGACTCTGACACCGTGTGACTGTGTGCGAGTGAGAGAAGGAGAGAAATACAATAACGTGTTCCTTTGAGACAGGGAGGCAGGATGATTTAACACAGTCTGGAGGAGGGCATCCCAACCTTTTTAGAGTCATGGCACATATTTTACATTACAAAAAATCCCACAGTGCACCGCCAAACAAAAATGTCCCAAGAGGTATTATGTAATGAAATACAATGATCTTATAGTTTTATATGACTGGTAATTTCTCTTCTCAGTAGGCCTGTTTAGTTGAGCACAACACTGTTAGGCCCGCAGGAATTGAAGAAAGACATGCATAGAGATCAATCAGCGGAGTTTCTTTTTTCACTTTTTATAGGCATCTGCTGCCACCTAGTTAATTAAAGACTATTTAACTGTTCTGTCTGCTACTGTTGTGACGACATATGAAGACAAATTAATTGCAGAGTTTTCAGGCAAATTAGCTACCAATAGTGTTTCGACGTTTTTTGTTTTTTTGGGGCTAACAGCGTCCGCCAATCAATACTTGGTCTTTATTCTCCTACATATTTTGCGATATATAATATGTAATTTTTCATTTCGGATTATGGGGAAAAAAATTCGACTTACATCGCCACTACAAATCAAACCTTGACGTAAGTCGAGGACCCCATGTATATCAATTATCGCAGAATCATGATATCATGATAGCAAAATATCGTCTCAGAGTACCTGGTGATAGCCAGCCCTTGTTTATAAACAGCTGACGTTTGTGCGTTTTATTTCTCTGAAACAACGCAAACTCAATTACACAATTGTTTTTATTTTACAAACACGAACCATCTTTAAATAGACATTCGAAAAGCAGAGCTCTGAGAAATATCGATAAAAAGTTTGAACATCGACCCATACTGCAGACAAATAGGCTCTATAACAAACCAGAGGACTTCTGCTAACGCTAACGTCACCGTGGAGTAATAAAACAATTAGGATGACAGTAATACCATGTGTACTGCAAGAATAACAGTGTGGAGCTAAAGTTTAATGTTACCCAAGCTATCCAGCCGAACCCCGTCCTTCTCCTCCTCCCGCTCCCGCTCCTCCTCTTAGGATGGCTGGGGGATACCAGTCCCAGGTGGAGACACATGCCATCCATCACACACAAACAAAAACCAAACACAGGGTCTCCTCAGACTGCAGCATCTCTCTGTTTGTCTGTTTAGCTACAGGAAAAAGAAAAACTCTGTCCACCGGCTACTTTCTGCTCATCTCCTATTCTCACCTCTGCTTCTTAAATCTCTGCTGTGTCTGCCGTAAGCTATGTGACCTGGGAACGTCCACAGCTGGCTTCTGAAGCCAGAATGACTTACCTGAACTGGACATATACTATACTCTGCAATTTCTCTTCTCTCCCTTCCTCCCTCCCTCACTCACCCACTCTCTTTCTCTCTCTCTCTCTCTCTCTCTTTTGCTCTCTCCCTCCTTCTCCCTGTCTTTCTTCCCATGGTGGTTATTTATATTCATTTGTCCTCAGGAAGCGAGTGCAGATCAAGTTCTAGGGCCATCAGCGTTTCCAGAGGCCGATGGCAGCAGAATGTGAAGGTAAACATGGAAACCCAATCCGCCCCAGCTGGACGTCCTCTCAGGGCGAAGTGGCTTGAGAAAGCGATGATAAGCAAAAGGTTTGTTTTCTATCAGCCTGTTTTAAAGTGTATTTTTAACCTGTTCAGAGGAATTAAACACAGCTAGGATGTGTGTTGCATGTTTCGTTTTACTGTCAGTAAGCGTTAATTTTGACAGCGAATTCTGATTTAGTCTTTTGAATAACACACTATTTCGTTTAAGTGATATCATATCAAGTCTAGTTATAGTGGACTAAATATCATAAGAGTTTTAATCGTGCAAGTCTATGGTGGATTTTTTGTCAACTAGATTTATAGAACTTTATGAATCCCTTAGGAATATTAAGGACTAACTGTATCTTCAGAATTCGCAGTCATTGGAAATATCCATCAATCTGTTTCGGAATGGTTTTAAGTAGGGATGTCCGCTAAGAATTTGTTGCCAATATCTCATATGCCGATATTGTCCAAACTCTTAATTTCCGTTTCTGATGTCAACAATTACCGATATAGCAGGTCAGTGGTGGCCTGTTGGTTAAGGAAATACTTCACAAATAGTGGGCCGTGCTGAGGTGCCGGGCGGGGGCATAAATGGCTTCCAATGGAAAATGGCACGCTGGACATAAGTATACCATTGCTGTAATGCTTAAATGATAACAAGCCTCCAGTCACTAGGTGGCAGCAACTCATACAGTGGTTTGTACAGATAAAAACATACATGTTATCGAGTAGAAATATTATTGAAGCCTGGTAATATGTATCAGTACAAAACACTGTATTGCTGGCACCAGCATTCTGCATAAATGATTGATTATTATACATTAAAATAGATTAATAATATAAGCTACAATGCTGCCATCTAGTGACTTTCACTTTCATATACAGCTGTTTTCCCCAAAGCTATTCATTTGGCGAAACCCAGGCATTGCGTTACTGGGTTTCATTATCGGAGAGAAAACCATAATGATTCTTACAGGTTTTTGTCCAATATGGGCAGAAACGGGTGTAATATGGTACACATATTCTGTTTTATTCTTCTATCTACATAATGAGAAAGAATAAGAAAAACAATGTGCAATTAAAAATAAATAAATAAATAAAATACACCATAAAATAAACAACCCCTTTCTACGTATCTATACCAACACAACAAACCAGCATGCAGTCCATTGTCTAAAAACAGACATAAGCTTCAATAGATGACCCAAGACATAGGGTTCATAACCTTCACTAAACAAATTCTTTGTCAGCAAGGACCAGCTTCAGGTCAATGAGAAACAAAGACCATGCCCTTTATCTTTGTGCCGCCCCATTAGTAGTTTGTAGGTCACATGTTCTCTACAAACATCCATGTTGCAGTTCTGTACAAAAATAATATATGAAGGAGACTTCAAAAGGTATTTGCGAACTGTTAGTGTATGGGACAGTTATCAAAAAAAATTTATATTTTTTTCTGTTTCACCTATGGAACAATCCTGGTGCAGAAAAAATTCTTCTTAAAATAAAATAAAAACTAAAATCACTAAAATAAAATAAAAAAAAAGAAGACATTGTGATTGTAAAACGTTTTTTAGGAAAGCTAATTCTATTTGCTATCAAACCTAGTATTAAATCATACAGGCTCCAGTTGTTTTTTTACCATGTTTGATCCTGGGATTTTAACAAAAATCGGACCGATAACAATCCATAGTATCAGATCGAGCCATCCCTAATCTTAAACAATCTCCTGTGCTGACCACAGAACAGCTCTTTAGTCAACCTCAGATGAGCTGGCTTGGTGGTGCAAAACAGTTAGACGGGTACACGTTTACTTTAGTTTTCATTCACAAAGAGAAACCATTAGGTGATACATTGTGTTGTTAAGCTGAGAATCAGTATCAATATGTTTTGCGATGTTGTGGTGAAATTTTGATACCAAACCAGATACAATTAACATTAAGGACCCAGTGAGGAACGTTCAAGAATTCAACATGAATGACGTGATTAAGTTATTGACTCAAGTGGTTCGTAAAGGCCTATCTCTGAGACACTGATGGTACAGTTGACTTCACCATCACCACTCGTGGCTTTAGTGTGTGAAATGGCAGTGACATGGAGATGACAAGCAAAATCTACGCTGCCTATAGATAAACTTAGACATTTACATCAAACTGTGGCTCATTCTATTCTTCTAAGGCGTCACAGTGTTTAAATCTAATTTTAAACTTCTTAGAATGAAATGATGAAATTGATGCCTGAAAAGCTCCATAGACATAAACCTAACCACCTTAACATTTATTTACTGATGAGATGATTTATTATCACGTTTACCAGCTCCATAAATGTTGGGGTTATTGTATAAAGGATGTAACCTTAATGTTAGCCTTCAGGGAAAAAAGAAAAACCTGAGGGACGGTATAACTCACAGGTGCTGAGCCCTTCTTGATGGTCACCGTGGGAGTTGTCGCTCTGAGTGCTCCAGTAACACCATGGTAGTATCTGAAGCAGACCTGGGTCTCAGCTATAAAGCACACACACAGACACAGACACACACACAGGGACGAAGACAAAAGTGTGGCATTGATAAAATGTAGAGGAAATAGAGTGCAAAGTGCCCAGAGGGACACGTGAGGATTCAGGTCATAGCAGTTTTGTGTGTCTTTCTGCTGGTTGGTTCAACAAGAAGACAGAGGGGAAAAAAAAAAAAAAAACAAGACTGACCAAGTTGAAGACATGTACTTTATAATCAGGGTGTGGTCAAATTATCATACAAATAATCCATGAAAAATCGAATAAAATAAATACATTTTATGAAGAAATTGGGGCTGGGATCTACAGAGAAAGGAGAAAGATTCATAGATTATTAGAATATTATTCCAGTGTCATTTCCATGGAATTTATATCAATTTTACACTGGTTGTTTTTACATATTATACATTACATCAGTATGAGTAAGCAGATTTTTATTTTTCCACAGTTGTTTTGTCATTTAAACCAAAAGAATTATCCACCTAAAGGCAGACATTTCTTCCTGCATTTTGTGCACAGAGAACACAGGGAGTCATGACAGAAGACCACTCACATGGAGAAAGCTCTCAGTTCAACTTACAGTATACTTACAGTAGAGTGTACACAGAGGAAATGTCATTAGAATGCACTTAAAAAATGTGTTGCATGCTAAGCTACACACAAAACCATGTCAACTGAATGTGCACAAAAAATCTTTAAAAGTCCAACAACAACAAAAAAAGCATTACCCACACCAGGGTCTAGGCCGCATTTGGGTACTTTTGTTTCATGGTTACATACACAAATCAATTTTTTTCCCACCTTCAGTATTACATACCTTGAAGTAATTATTTGCTAAATTGATTCTTCTTTTGGGCTCCATCTCACCCTATCCCCTTCCTCCTCTGTTTTTACAACAACTTTATTCACTACCTCTTTCACAACATCCACAAATCTCCTCTGGAGATGTCTCCTCTTGTCTGGCAAATACATCTCAAACCCAATATATTTACAATCTCCCAACATTCTTTGTCCAATACATTCACTTTGTCCCAACATTCTTTGTCCAAAATATTCACTTTTTCCACAATATTGTACAAAATAATTTGTACAATATACTCATTATTTCCCAACATCCTTTGCCTAATTTATTCACTATATCCCAACATTTTTTGTCCAATATATTCACTTTGTTCCATCACTTTTTGTCATATATATTTACTATCCATCCATCCATCATCAACCGCTTATCTTATTTACTATCCTGCTGGCTAAATTTATACAAACATTTTCCATAAAGAAATAAATAGAGAAAGTGAACTACTTGTCAGTGTGAGACTTGACACCACTGCACACACAACGAAATGTGACCTCTGCTTTTAACCCATCACCATAGTGAACAGTGGGCATTTTTGTTTCAGAGAAGAACTACCGTCACTCATCACTACTGTCATGGCATGGCATGAGTCTCTTTTGCCTACAACTTACCATGCACTGTGGTGTTTCAAAACCTGAACGCACCAGCGCTGAATCCCTGTCAGCCCCATCTAACGCGGCTCCAATCTATGAGACTTTCTTCATCATCAACAACACAGTAGTTTTATTTTCTATTATTTATCATTTGAATTTGTTTCCTTGCCGGTTGTCTCTTAGTCAAAGTGCGTCCGCACGTGTGATGTCGTGCTGTTGTACAGAATTTTCTGAGCCGCTCTTGCCTTCTGATGCTCTTACATTAGCAGCAGTCATACGTGCCCTAAACTTCCTCCTTGCGTAGTCGAGGGAAGCACCTGCACTCCACTCTGCTGATGAATTCATTTTCTTTCATCACTGCATCACTCAGGTCTCTCCTGCTCTCACGCTCAACTCCCAGCGTCCCTAAACGCTGTAATTGTGCACCATTTGTGACTGTCTTCCTGCACGCGTTTTCTCACTGCTTTCTTCCCAGGATAATGATGTTTCTGCAGGCTCCATTGTTACTGCCTCAAAGAACACTACGTAACATGCTGCTAAAGCAGTAGCGCAGCTATATGGAGTCCTCTCCAACAGACAACTGTAAGACTATTGCAACTGAAAACATAATTGTGTATCTTCTTCATCCTGTTTTGAAATGAATGTAATAATTATAACACAATATCTTGAATGGTCAGGAAATTAACTGGATGTATTAATGTTGTTCATATTTTGATTATTTAAGTGATAACACTAAATACGTACTGTCAAAAAAATTACACTTCTAATCTGAGAAGAGGTTTGGAGTTCCACAGGGTAGCTGGGGATTTATCACAATTAATCGCGATCAATCATGTTTGTAGTTAATCAAGATTACTTGCGTTTAATCAAACTAAAATATTTTACTACTTACAGTTACTGAAGTGAGCGCCGGAGTCGATTTTCCAAACTATCTGACCTTTGTGAGAGCCACTGAGTCCTCGGTTTTTGTAGTCAAGAAAGTTCTCAGACAGTGGCTCATCTGCAATTAAAGTAAACAAAAAGAGGAAAAAAACATTCATTTGTTGTTTAATTTTATTTTCACTTGTACTTAATATATGTCATATACAATATAGTGTACAGTTTTCAGGTTGTAGCAGGTTCTCTAATGATTTTTAACCACTAGGAAATACTTTAAGGGTATTTTTCTTTGCTATGCTATGGCACATAGAAGAAGTAGCGTATTTTTCAGGACTATAAGTCACACTTTTTTTGTCCTTTGGTTGGGTTTGTGATTTATTCTCGTGCAACTTATATATAAAAATATATAATTTCAATATATGTTATTTTCACACGGACAGCCGCTAGAGGGCACTCTAGGCTGGTGTACCAGTGTCTGATACTTCTGTACTACTGACAATTTACATGTTGCTAGCTGCTAGAGGGTACTGGCTGGTGCGACTTATACTCCGGAGTGACTTATAGTCCAGAAAACATGGTAAAAACTCTTCTGCTATATGGTAAATTTGCTGGTGAAGCTCATACTGTGTGTCTTTCTTTAATGCCTGTGAGCAAATAAGGTTGTGTTCAACTAAACAGGTCAGGGATTAATATCGAATAATTGAATTGTGATCATTGAAGATCATTGCGTTTCATTGTTTATAGTTTTTATTTAGTGCCGGCTGTAGGATTTTTCTAATGTAAACACTGGGAAACACTGGTTTAGAGACAGTATTGAACATACAAAAGATAGCAGCTGAAAAACTAATCAGAATGCATTGTAGTGTACCCCACAAGTTTGCTTTGCAACGGCCAAATTTGTGATCTTACTTACCAAAGAGATACATTCCAATCCAGTCTCCAGCATCAACCTCCTCCTTGATGTCCCATGTGATAACTAGGTCTTCAGACTGACCTATGGTATATTGGAAGGCATTGATGGTGAGTGTAGAGCGAGTGTCCGGAGACACCAGATCAGTGTCACTGGTAGAGCGAGGCAGCCCCAGCATAAAGGCTTCCTGGTTCAGACTGTTGACAGTGAAGCTTTCTGGCCCATAGCTGTGACGAACTGCACCTTTACAGCGTTGGCGGGTCTGGCTGCTTCGGGTTGGAGACGCCATGGCCACCAGACCCAGGAACCGATTCTGGTATAAATTCTGCAACAACACAAACCAGGGGATGACTATTTGGGATGACCAATTTGTAATATTTAATTAAAATGCTATCTTTTTCTTTAAAGGGTATTTTAAACTTGAGATAAAAAAAAAAAAAAAACTCTTTCCTGCAGTGCTGGCAAATAACACTCTCAATAGTATGAGATAGAGCTTTGTGTACAACATAGTGCACAGCCCATATATGTATGTAGGGTTTCTCTGGGTTTTTTTAATCCACATTCTAAAAACAGGCTCATTAGGGGATTAAGGTTGATCGAACTCTGGCAGCTCTCTGGATAGATAAATAGATGAATGGATGGATAGATGGATAGATTTTGCAGTATTTGGATGTTCTCGTTTTAGTAAAAGACAGCTTCATTACCAGTGATAGAAAGTATTCATTTTACACTGGCATTGCCAATAAAAACCCACTGCTGCAGTAAAAGCACAGCTTCAGAGCTGTGAGATGGAATTTACTTAACATGACCATTAACTTAATCGTTCAGCAGATATTGTATACAGTACAATCCTTTTAGAAGGACTAGTTATGAGAAGAGCATTTGTGTCATGTCTCAAGATGCCTTTTAGTACAGGAAACAGATGCTCAGTCAGCAATATTAGAAGGGGTTTTGTTGCACTGCAGTGTTACAGTGAATGTTTAATGTTTTTTTTCCATATTTTTTTATCTCCTGATTTTGGTCCATGATGTGCGGAAGGTTTTGAAAACGTAAGTGGTGGATTAAAAAGGTTTTTTTTAAATGAACTCTGTTTGTTATTTATGAAATAATTAATGTATATTACATATATACATATTAAGAAACAGCAGCTTTATTCTTATCCCTGTATTCAACCCTGAATTACGGCTAACTTTAGTTCCATTTCCAACCTGCTTTTTTTTCAAATGATCTGCTCCCCAAAATCTCAAAACTCACTCTTTACCCTAAAGTCCTCTTAGGAAACTTGAAGTCTTGTTTCTTGTTTTTAGACAAGTGAACTTACTCGACCTGACCACTGTATTCAACTTTAAATCATCTTCCTTACCTACTAAGACGCTTTCCTTAGCATCACTGAAATCGTCCCAATTAATATCCATCAACAGCGCCTCTCTTTCTTCCTTCCCGCCCAGGACATCCTACAAGGTTCAGTACTCGAACCTCATTTATTTATCGTCTATCATCTGCATATAAAGAGAGACAGAAATGGGCATGCACCAACTCTGCCTCAGTCAGTTTGTCCCAATTAAGGCAGCGCTTGTCGCTGGTTGTCTCTGAGTGTAGATAAGAGTAAAGGGGGAGGGGAAGAGCTTGTGCGTGACAGTGAGGGAGACAGAGCTGAAAGGCTGTGTGTGTTTAGGGACACCGAGAGGAAGAGGACAAAATGAACTGTCTCGATATTGTCTTGTGATATTTAGCATTAAGAAATATATCGATATATATTACATTATTGAGATATTGCCCAGCCCTTAACTGAGTTAATAAATTATTTCATTACATAGACCTTTTGTTTGATGGTGCGCCATATATATGAAAGTGTTCTAGTTCTAGCATACAGCAGATCCTTGATTTACGATGTTCTCGACCTATGGCCTTCATGGTTACGTCGCCATCACCCATAAAATGATTAATAGAGTCACATTGTTACGTCATTTTGAGGTATGGCGTTTGCGATGTTAAAATGGGGTGTACAAATACATTGTCATGCGTTGCTAGATGAGGGAAACAACTTTGTTTACATTCCCCAGTTGTGCACTATATTGGATTGTGCTACATTTGCATTTGTAGCTCAGTGGTAGTGCATTAGACTACAGATCAAGAGGTCCCCGGTTCTAATCTGGGTGCGCCGTAGGTTAAATATTTGGTCAGTTATATAGTGTAGCAGTTAGCACGCCTCCACTTTGGGAGCAGAGAGCAGAGTCCTGTGTTGGATTCCCAGAATCACCACAGCAGATCTACTTTTAATACAAGAATTTCCTGAATATTGGATCAATAAATTAATTCAAAATTATTTATTATTATTATTAATAATCATTGATTCAATTTTCTTCACCTAACAAAACACAGATTCTATCACTTTTGTAAGTAAGTGAGAAACCATAGCCTTATTTTCAACCCAAAGATTTTTTTCTTTTCCAAAATATAGCTTTTTTCCCCACATTTTTTCCTCACATCCCCATCCACATTTCCATTACATTTAGTACTGACTCATGCAAGAGAATTTTCTATGTTATAGCTACATAAATAACACTCATCATGCATCTCTTCTCTTGACCACTTTCCCTGATTCTCCACTGGCAACAAATATCAAAGCATATCCAGTACTAGTTTCTGCTTCTTAAAAATAATGCAGGAACGTAGAATCAGACCTAATTTTGGAACTCTCTTGGACCTCTTACCTCATCTCGTCTCTCGGACCTCTTACACTTTCAACATTTTTCTGCGCACCATTTCTTTCTTTTTTTTTACTATCATTTTTTTATTTACTTAATATACTTAATATATTAATATTATCATAATTGTTATTGTAAGGTAAATGTTTCAGCACCAATTGAAACCTATATGTAATGAAAGGAGATATCACTCAGACACGTACACACAGAACAGAAGGTGCTGGGTGACTGTGATGGTGTTGGATGGGAGTGGGAGGACACTGACCTTGAAACTACAGAGCTGCATCAGCATAATGACCAGTCAACCCAAAGCAGAGCAAAACCTAAGGGAAGTGGGAGGAGAAGGGCGGTGCATTACAAACAACGTAACGGAAAAAAAAAAAAAAAAAAAAAAGCAGAGGCAGTGAACACAGCGGGTAAATAAGTCATGAATAGCAGTGGTGTTATAAAGTGCAACAAAAAGACAATGTCATCAAACCTTCATACCTCATCTTTGTTAGAGAGGAATATGAATATTTAAGAAGCATTACTACGAGAAGACAAAGAGAAAACAGAGAACCTGTGACGTCAAAGGAAACATGCAGAAAGACGACACATGGTAATAACAGACAAACCACATTGAACAAGGCAACAAAAACAGCAACGTCACGGTCTACATGTGCATCACTAGATGATGGTCACATGCCCCGCATTGCTTCGGTGAAGACAGAAAGATGACCAATAAGGTAGACACAATAGGAAATGTAGGTAGAATATCACTTCTCGTTCACAAAGTCAGCAGAGCAGCCTGTTGCTTGCGGGGCATTAACCGAAAACCGATTTGTTGACGTGTCAACTTGATTGGCACAAGTCGACGTACCCAGGGAGGATTCGTAAAGTCTTGTTTTTTCTTGCGTGCATGTGCCAACACACTGTACCGCCGACTGGCTTACACTGATATTTGATTATTGACAATTAATTGCGATATTATGCGCTACCTGAATACTGACAGAAAATATTTACATTTCCAAGAACATGTTCTTGGATTGGAAAACAAAGAAAAAGAGTCTATCTGGAATTACAACAGACAATTCTTGAAACATGAAGAAGACCTTTAAAGCATTTCTCTGTATTTTCTTTTCCATTTCCCAAGCCTTCAAAATACCAAGAGTGGAATCCGCGACCAGAGCATGCAGGTATTTTGATGTGGTCACCAGGTGGGGATCCACATTTGAAATGATTTCTAGATTCTTCGAGCTGCAGCAGGCCATCTGTGGAGTGCTAGCAGGAGACAGATCCACCTGGCATCTCACGCCCTAAAGACAATGATATCACTGTCCTGGAGGAAGTCAGCCAGCTCCTTTGTCCTCTCCATGACTTCACTAACATCCTGGGTTCAGAGAAACAGGTCATGCTCTCCTCCCTGAAGCCCGTCTTGGAACACATCAACAGCAAGATAGTTGAAGAACAAATAGAAGACAGCGACATCATGAAACAACTTGGTTGAGAATCTGGACAATACAGTCAAAGCATGCAACGATGAAGCACTGGCGCTTGCATCACATCACACAGACGAGCCTCCAGCAGTAAATGAACTGAGCACCTGTCTGGGTTATAAAAGGAACAGGTCAGCTGTATAGGAAGTGTAATGCCAACTATTCAAGAGAGAAATAATTCCGAGACCCAGCTGTACGTGTGCCTCCCTACTGTCAGCAGTGACAGTGACCATCCTTTAACCTGGTGGAAGGCACATACACAAGATATGCCAATGCTTTCAAGGGTCACCAAAAAAATTCAGTTGCATCCCTGCCACAGATGTACCTTTAAAAAAGAATGTTCAACACCTCGTCCCCTAAAAGATCAAAACTCAGCTCTGAGCATGTGAGCCTTCCCCCCTTATTTAGATTCCTGTTTCAAAAGAAAAAACACATAGTTAGCTTGTACTGTAGTTAGTTTAGTAGTATTATTTAGTTTAGTTCAGTATTATTTATCTTTCATAGGGCAGTTGTACTGCTAAAGGGAAGCTGTAAGTAACAAAGCTAGCAATTCTTTTTCTTAATTTTCTGCTTAGGTTCCAATAAAAATGTTCCAAAATATTAACAAAGCGCTGTACACTTGCACTCACACTAGCCATAGAATCCAGATTTTAGGGGGCAATTGTACTTTGGCATGGCACAATGGCCCTAGTTTGTGCACCATTAGTTTATCCTTGCACTGCTTTCACTATGAATTGTTGACATGTGTTAAGTACTGATTTAGGAGACCATGTTCAGGGAGTGAAAGCACGCGTACACATTTGTCCTGTAGAGTGACAAAGATATGCAAATCAACTCAGAGGGGGGCAGGTAAAAACCCAGCTGCACAAATGTTACAGAGATACATTGAAACCCCACCGTCCTCATTAGTTATACAGTAGGATATTAACATGTCACAGTGGCATCTCTGGGGAAATGTAGCCAGTTGTTCTTGCCACTTAAGTTTTCATATGCCCAATTAACCGCAATCATTGCATTCAAGGCAACGCAATTATTAATTAAAACAAATGCAGATCAAGAGCTACCCTCAGGAGAGGGTAAAAAAACAAATACAAAGACATGTCAGACAAAGGAGCAGTCTGGGGATTGGAATTGGGATTGGGATTAGTGGTTCCGATCCTGTTTTAGCTTGTGATACCTTTCTGACATCACAGATGTCTAGTGATCCTAGAGACAATTAGCTTTTAATCATGTTTGTTGTGCTGTGTTATACAGAGTAGCCAGATTAGTGCCCAAAGTGACATTTTATTTTTCGCTGATCACAAGTACAGTTAGACAAGCTTGTATTGTCAAGACTGAAAATAATGGCTGAACAAACAATCTGTGAATTACAAATTAATAAAAAACAAAAACAAAACACCTTTTTAGCAGACAATAGAGGCAAGCAAACAATTTTAAACAGTTTTGTACCAGTACAAACATTCCTATTTGGGGTTTTTCAAACATCGCTGGTATGATTGATGAGATAATTATCCATTAGCTACAACTAATCTGGTTAATAGTTGTACAGAGAGGTGATCAGAAACATACAAGCTGGCCTAAACTGGTTCGAGAAAGAGGTGCATCAAGCTTATCTTTATTTACAGTAGTGCTGCACGATTTGATGAAAATGTGCGATTGCGATTATTGGGGACAATGTTGTTATTTGCGATTACGGTATAAATGAATAATCTCATGAGTCTACTTGCTTGAATATCAAGGACAACACAGAGAATAATGATACGTTTGTATATCATCATTAAAACATTAAAATGACAAAAAATACAAAACCTAAAGTCTAGTTTTTATTTATAACTTAATATCAAAAAATAAATAAAAGTTTGAAAGCAACTTGATCATTTAAAACTTGTGCGGTCCGACCGGGTCTAGGTGACCACCGGGTACTGCACGGGTACTAAACAACAATTTAGGGAACCACTGGCTGACAACCTTATGCGACCATGTAGGTTAAAATTTTAAACTCTTACTGTATGTGTCCTTAGGTTTCCAAGAGGGTAGATTATTGACCCAGTCCCCCCCCCCCCACCCACACAGTACATGTTGCCACTTGAAACTATTATAGAAGAGAACAATTTGTCTTTTTACTGCTATACAGATGACTTGCAAATGTATCTGTGAAACTTTATCTTTATTTAACTGCTGATTTTTGCTGACATTAGGCTTCAGCTAAAACACAATTCCCTTTGCTTTTTAGGACAAAATAGAATTTTTGAAAATCTGAAAGGAAAAGTGTTTGCACATTCTAGAATTGGTAATGACGTTGCACAGTCTACTCCAAAATCTTGAGTTTGTAAAAACTAAAAGCATAGAAAATTGTTTTTCAATACTGGGGTCACGACCCCACGTGGGCTCACCTGAAATTTAAATTGGGTTGCCTGATATGTCTACTAATGGAAAAAAAGAAATATTGATAAAAAAATTTTAAACTAATTTTTATTTTTCTATTTATAATAAAAACACGCTTCAGCCTGTCTAAGCACTAACTGGCAGTCAGAAGAAAACAACAGAAAACAAAATGGATTGAAGATTTCTTTGCCTGCTTGGCACCGTCAAGACAGTTCAAAGATGGTTCAAAAAATTTAGGAGCCACTGGCATAGAAAGTTTGACAATTACTGGGCTCACAAAATAAGGAAAAATGTACTGGACAAACTTAGAGCTACGTATATTGACTATCTTGTTTTTTTATAATCTTGAGTAGCCAAAATCTTATTAAAACCAAATTTCATTAATTGTCCAGCCCAAATATAGACACACCAATAACTGTATTGGGGTAAAATCATTTTCAGTATTTTTCTATAATTAAAAGTGTCCTTATTAAATAAATGTTAGCCTTTCTTTGATAAGCGCATCTGCCTGAAAACTGAATGTAAATTTAAGAAGGTTCTTCAAAAGTTTTAAAACTGTATTTACTTAACTATCCCAAAATTTTGTATGGTATTGCTCAATTCAGTAGAAACAAGGAAAAGTAATACCTCCATATATTTTACTGCAAGTAATTTTTAAAAAAAAACTTCTAAACCTTTGGTTATTCTTTTTGACCAGAATCACTGATTGTGTAAAACATTAGAAACTCTCAGCACAAAATATGTAAATATTCAGGTAAATTGCTCTATTTAGCAGCAACAATACAGATTGTCCGTCACTTTTTCCTCTGAATTATTGATCTAGTATCACAACACTGTTTCCTCTGATTTCATCAGTGATGCTGTAATTTAACTCGTGTCAGACAACACTTTGTATTACTGTTATAAACACAAAATTGGCCACAAGGTCCAATAGTGCCAAGGTCAGTAGATAATCACTAGTTCAACAATAATCTTACAATAGAGAGTAAGTCACATGACCTACTGTAAACTGTACTTCAATGTTTCCTCTTGACTCATCTCAACCTGCAGTGTCATGCGAAGCCTCACCTAGTCACAGTTCAATCTGAAAACCAATACCAATATCAATCCGATACCTTCTTTTTCCTTCCTGCATGCTGCAAGCTGCCATTGTCGAGGCGCTAGTGTCCCTAATTACAGCATATGATGAAAACTTAGCAACTTAGCATTTGGGCTTTGGTATCGGATCAGAGAGGCTATAGAGGTCTTTTTTTTTTTTCAATGTTCAACACTGAAATTTGACCAATGTCAAACCAATACAAATTCTGAGTAACGGATCGAGCCATCTCTAGTTTAAATCACAATGATTCTTCACGCTACAACATGAAAGGTAAATAAGTTAAACTGTTAACACATCAAAAATTAAAATATACATTTGCTATTCACTATATGCAGTAAATTCAATGAGTTTCCAGAATCGACGAGTAATCAGTTTATATTATGGACAGGAACATAGGGCGGAAACTGATGCGATCTTGAAACAAATGGTGTCGGCATCTGAGGTCACAGGGTGGGAATAAACACTGGGAATAGTTTAACCCACAGGGTCTTAGCTGAACTATCCAAAATCAATCCACGATCTATAAGAAAAAGAGAGTATAAACACTGAACGGACAACAAGTGTTGTTTTGTGGTATGACTCAGGGGTATTTTCACACACATATAAGGATAAGGAAACAACAGGAAGCAGCAGGAAATGGTAACAAAGCTTATGAAAGTGAAGGGAAGGAGGAGAAAACCATGACGATTGATTTAAGAAGCCAAACAGGAAGCCAGGAACAGGGTTCTAAACATCTAAACATGAACTCAAATTACTCTGGTAGGATACATTTATTTCTTTGATCACAGCTGGGGATACAGTGTTTGTTAAAAAAATGGTAAAATTTACATTTGACTTACATTTAAACGGACACCAGCTTTAAGTCATACGTCAATCACCGTGGTGACAACACGTCAGCCACGATCATCAGTGATGTGTTCACAGCTATGTAGCGGTCACTTGCTGTGCAAAACGTCTCTACGTTCATTTATGACACCAGCAGCTGCTTTCATTTCATACCGTTAATCACTTTATGACTTCAGTTTTATGGTCGGGTGATCTGCACAGGATGACACCATAAACCAGCACTGTTACAACCACCATGTACAGTATAAAGTAAAGACATAAACCATTCAGTTTTAATGGTACAACCTGGAAAAACACTAGGAATCTGATACAAATGAACTCAAATTAAAAAATAATATAGAAACAGTGTTTAAATCATTGGTTTAAAAAAAAAACCCTCTTATGTTAAATTTATTATCTAAAAACAGAAGCTAACGCTAATCTCTTCAGACTGCCTATTAAAATAAAATGCAACTTCACATGTCCTCCAACCATCTTCAATAGATGGTCTATGGAGGGGCCGAAGGGTTTGTTTTTAATTTTACACTTAACGCTACCCAAAAGTGTGATATGAAGTCTTCTTTCATCATTCCAGTGTACAGCATTATAACAGATTTTGCACAGGAACTAAATGGAAAACAGAGTGGACAAAAACGTCCTCAAGTGGCACTATATGCTGAAGACAGCTTTGTTTATGTTCACCGATTGTATGCCATACATTGGATTTCGCTACATTCACTTTCTTGTAATGTGTTTTTTTAAGGTACTTTTTGGCCTTGAGTGATATAGGTACAACGTTCGGACTTACAGCGACAATCGAGTTATGTGCACCATAGGAACGGAATTCCGACATAAGTCAAGGTTTTTCTGCCACTGTTTAAACGTCAACAAGACAATTTCACTGTTGGTCTCATAAGACTTAAGACATAAGACCCGTTGTGCTGTTGGACTGAAACAAATAAGACAGACAGAATATAACAGAAAAGAACCAGCAGGTGCAAAGACCTGATATCTCTAAAGTTCAGATATAAAAACTAAATACTACTTAGAGCCTTATCTACGCATTTTTAAGGCCTCAAATCCTGGGCAGGCTTAGGAAAACAAAAGATCCATGTGTCATTCGTAGCCCCAGGATTTAAGGATTTTTGGGAATCCCAAACACAAAGAAAGTAGTGTTTGACCTAAATTCTGATAAAATCATGGGGCAGTTTTGTAGAAAAGGATGTTATTCCAGGAACACCAAACACATGAAATTAATTTATTTAATGTTTTACTCAGTGTAATGTGTAGAAAATAAAAATGAAAGATATGACAAGATTTTTGACGTTACATTCTGTTAATAAAGTCAAATACATTTTTAAAAACAGCTTCTGATAACTTTTTTTGATTTCATTCATATAATGCCAACTGTAGCTGGCGATTAGCTGTACCAAACGATGCAACCTCTTGAATACACTTCTGCTACAGTGCTGCTCCTACATGCCGCAGAGAAAACCTGTTATACAATAGCATTGTCGTGATTTTTCAGCGTCGAATTACACAGGCTCATTCGATGTCTCGGACTGAATCACTCCCATCTCTCACTGTCATTGTCGGCTAAGAGTGACACAACAGTGCAGCAGCAACAGAGCAACCACCAGGGCCGCTGCTTGACACAGACCACCATTAGCGCCATCAGCATCATCAACATCACCCCACGTTACACGGCAACAACGGAGGGAAGTCCTACCTGAGATAAAAGAACCTGCCGGTGGATCATTCTCCGACGGTGACAAGGAGGCCAGCGAAGACTCGAAGAGCTGCTAGTTTCCACAAAGCCCCATCTTCGACGGTGAGGAAGAAAAAGGGAGGAGGAAGAAGACAAACAGCACAGAACGAGAGGGAGAGGAGAGAGAGACTTACTCACATCCTTCCATCTTTCCCAGCGCTAACGTAACAACAGCTAAAATAAAGCGATTTCCGGTTTTGGCGAAGTCAAAATTTCAAAGAATTCGCCTCAAAATATTTTGGTTGTGTTTTTGTAAGCCGTTTTTTAATGTTGTCGAGTCGCCGTCATTAGCAGCGGTATTGTTTCAGCTTTGCCTAAATGTACCACAGAATAGCACAACGGGCTTTTGCTTTGAAAGACAGTAATGTACCAATGTGTCCAGCTTGACGGGAGCTGCGACCATGGATCCTTAGCAGGGTACCAGTAAGCCTGGAGCCTATCAGAGCACACCCTGCTTTCCTCTCCGCCCCGCCCTCCCCCAGCTAAAGCAGCTGATGTAAACACCGCACAGGCACGAACCAGTTTTTCATTCATCGTTTTTCTTTTAATGCCCACTGTCCGTCTTGTCTGGTGAACAATATATTTTAAAACAAAAATACCCACATTTTAGCAGTGTGACTAATTTGACATAGTGTAGCTTTTTTTTTTTAAGTGTCAAAATAATGCAATTTTAAGCAGAGTCGGCGGAAGCTATTTTGATGCCCTGGAGGAAGCGTTGCATTATGGGTGTGATTCATAGTGAATGTCATTCAAAAACCTAATTAAAATAAAATAGACCAGGGGTGTCAAACTCATTTTTACTGGGGACCACATCAGCAAAATAGTTCCTGTTGAAAGGCCAGTTGTGAATGGAAGACTGTATAGATCAGTTGTCCCCAACCCCCACATCAGCAAAATAGTCCCTGTTGAAAGGCCAGTTGTGAATGGAAGACTGTATAGATCAGTTGTCCCCAACCCCCAGTCCGCAGACCAGTACCAGTCCATAGGTCACATGGTACTGGGACACAGTGAAAAAATGTACTTAATTTTTACTAATTTACTGAGTCATATCCATTTACTTTCTTTATTTAAAGATAATCTGGCGATATTTTAAAATAATAGGTCAATCAGACTCTGATACAAACAGAAAAGAGTCTAGTAGACGTTTTATTTTGAAAATGCAACGATCCTTTGATGCTCAGCACTTTGCTGTCTGTAGAAACTGGTGGTACTGGCACTGGTACTTGGAACAATTAAAGGTTTGGATGTCACTGGTCTATAACAGACTCCTTATTTTATTCATTTAAATTCAAGGACGTCTTGTGACGTTGAGGTTCTTTAAAGAGCAGTGTGCCAGTTCAAAATGTAATTAAGTTTTAATTAATGATTTAATATTTGTTGATATACTCTTCTGATTATTTGTATTTTACATACAGAACAATGTTTGACTCCAGTGCTCTGTTGCCAAAGTGCCTTTGACCTAGGCTGCAGAGGCTGTAGGATGCATAAAAACACAGCTCTCTAAATAATACATTGCTGTAATGTAGAGGCAGGTGGACCCAAATGCAGGAAGCTACGGATAGTCGGAAAACAGTCTTTAATAGTCCAAAGCTGTGGGGGCCACTAGGGAGGACTTAGAATATTGGACGGAAGAATAAAAAAAAAAAAAAAAGCAATCGTAGCATGCCTGACTCCATGTCTGTGAGTTTGCAAAGGGACTAAAGGCTAATGCCGTTTGAGGGGCTTTGGCGTGGAAAAGTTTGGGAACCACTTGTCCATAGAATCAGCAAAAGTAGGACCAAACTGACATGGAAACCGAAAAAAGCACAGATGGGGATGTTAAAGCAATCACCTGGGAAACAGGGGAGACATGCCGCTTCATCTAGCAGTGCCCACACTGCTTCTACCATAGTGTTAGTAACACTCCTCTCGCACTTCCTGTTCCCTGTTTGACTGACGTGTTACTATCTAGTGTAGCAACACTGTAGCACCCCTTCCCATTTGTGTTCTTTTTCTTGAATGAACACAAGGTAATTACAAAGCCATGTGCAAAAGTAATTAAACACAAGTTATCTGTAAAAATGTGCATTTGTCGTTTCAAAGTAACTAATAATGCCAAAATATGTAATTACTTTTGGTGCTTTGTATGTTTTTGTGTGTTTCTTTTTTTTTTTTGTACCCTTCCTATCTGAAACAGTTTATGTATGTATTTCGAGAAACAGTATAAATACATGCCTCAAAACTAGCAATGAAGCAGACTTTGAGTTTTATTATTGTGTGTTACACTTTGACAAAGATCGCATTAAAGTAAATACTCCTGTCAAGTACACAATTCCATGGTCAAGTATATTACCAGATACTGAAAGTAACAAAAAAAAACAAAAAACACAGTTCAACTCTTTTTTTTCAGATTTTTCTCGACAATACAAACACAGTTCAACTTTTTTTTTTTCAGATTTTTCTCGACAATACCGATAAAACAACAACTTCCGTCTTAAATCATAAAAGCCGTTAGAACAAATTAGATTCTTTGATTCAGAATTTCAATGAACTGGAGTACCATGTCGCTGAACTATGCTCCTCTGCTGCCATCTGTTGGACACAAAGCGTAAAAGCCTCAGCAACACAAAATCCTTCCACACAACTTGCAAGAAAAGACTATAGCCTTGTGAGAGGTGTAGAGCTTATATGAAAGTTCTAAGGGTGGTAAATATTTAAAACTTCCGAGGCACATGATATCAGATCAGTGAGAAAACAATAATTTCTGTGTGTGTTGTCAATGTTCTCATAGAGTTATGATCTATGGTGTTTGGAAATGTGTTGTCATGCGGGGCAAGGGTGATGGCCATCTTGGTCTCCGTTTCCTGGGGTTTTAAAATCTGCATATTTCGCCATGTGTAAAATGTGGGTAGAAACATTTGAAATATGTTTTAAAACTATAAATGAACCCCACATTTGATCTATCTATCTATCTATCTATCTATCTATCTATCTATCTATCTATCTATCTATCTATCTATCTATCTATAAATTAAAATATATTTATTAGGGGTCACATGAGTTCAAGTCCACTCCACATCAAGTCACTGGTGGCATCATTTATATGTTCAGTCTTTAATAATGAAAACAATCTCAGCAGGAGCAAATGTTTTTTTTAATAATCTACTGTATATTTGATGACAACATTGTTGAAAACTCGCATATAAGTCACACACTGGGCAGCATTTTGGCAACAGTGGGGATAAAAGAAATCTCCAGCAGATCCAGACGCAGTTATCAGCCGTCGGCCTCTGCAAAGAGAGAAAGGGGGGAAACAGTGGAGACAGCAGAGGTGTGAGAAAGGAGCTGACACGCAGCACTATAATACACAGTACATTCAGACAAGCAGTTGGGACATACAATAGCATAGATCTTTGAGCCCATTTTGAATATCATCAGCAAGTGTGACTTCAAAAAGCACAATAACAGTACCATTTTTGACCCTCTTGTTGACTACTGTACATTTTGGACTATATGTCGCTCTTTTTTTTTCATCCATTGGTTGAGTTTGCAACTTATACTCAGGTTAGACATATATTAAAATATATAATTTCACGTTTGTTATTTTCACACTGACTGTCGCTAGAGGGCACTCTAGGCTTATGTACCAGCATCTGTTACTCCTGTACCACTGAAAATTTACGTTTGTTATTTTCACACCGACTATCGCTAGAGGACACTCTAGGCTTGTGTACTAGCTTTAGTCGCACTTTTTTTCATCCTTTGGCTAGTACAGCTTAGACTCCGGAGTGACTGATATATGTTTTTTTTCTTCTTCATTATGCATTGTTTTGGCTGGTGCGACTTACACTCTGGAGTCCGGAAAATATGCTACTTGTTTTTGACATGGGCATGGGTTTATGAGCAGGAGTGCTGCTAGGGGATCTTGGGCCCCATGAAAATAATTTTTATTGGGTTCCTAACATTTCCCAACTATCTCACGTAAAACTATACATTTTGATGGTTTTGATGGAGTTTTGACAATCATTCCCATTCAACTTAGTGGCACATTATTTTATGTCAGTATTCTAATTTCTTTAGGGGGCCCTTTTTACCCCCATGTTGTCCTTTGGGTATAGGTGACTCTGTGTATGTTTGCGTGCGCGTGCTCCTGTACTGCACGGCTTGTGCCAACTTTTCTTCATACTCTGATTCTGGGACAAGATCCGTTGAGAGGATGCTGGGTGTGTACAAAATGCGAAGGACGACGGGATGATTAATCATGGGACCCTACAACAATTTACTATTGACGTGGTGTTGCAATGGAATTCCTCCTCAGTACGGGAAAAGATACAAATTCAGAAATGTGGTGCATATTCTTGGCTAAGGAGCCATGGACGAGAGCAGGACAAGGGGGACTCCAATCTTTGGGTCTAGATCGGAACCTGTCGAAGACAAAATCATAGTACAGAACTTGTTATCTGGCTCTCTTTTCAGGGCTGGTGGACAAGGGAGGGCTCGGCTTTAGCCCTTTACCTATCACCAGATTCTGGGTCAGGCTTCTGTACGTAGCAAAGGTCTATCCTTGCTACATTCAGTCAAACGTTATGTCTGAATCTAACCTTTTCCAGGGTCGGTAATTGTATCCCTCCTTGCGAAGTGAAAGGTGCCAGGTGTGAGGCTGCAGTGAGAGCGAGAGAAACCCACCCCCCCCACCCCAGAACAAAAACAACAGTAAAATAAAACAAACAGTAAAATCGTCCCTGACTTTGTTGTGCGAGGTAGAGATAGAAAGCAGCAGTAGGAGAAGGTGGCAGAAGCACAAACTGAATGTAAATGAACAAACAACATTTAATTCTTCCTGGGTCGGCTGCCTTTGTAGTCTCACGATATCTGTCTGTCACGCCGCCCCCTCATGTTTTCCCATTCTCCCTTTCATTCCTCTTGCTGTCTTTTCTCCTCCCTTGGCTTCTCTGCCACTCCCTCCTCCTCCAACTACAGCTCTTGGTTTCATTTCCCCAGTCCCTCTGTCAGCTCCCCTTCATTATGTCTGATTCATTGAAGTACAAGAAGCATCAGCTGCATAGTCATCTTTCACTGACTGAGACATGAGTGGAAAGAGGTGGAGATGGATCGGGAGTCGGTTTATTTTATTGTTTTTCGTATCCAGACACAAAGCTACAGCCAAAGTGCTGTTGTTCACACAAGTCATATCTTACAGCCTACACCACCTTAAACACAATAAACCAACAAAACAAAACAAAACAATTCAGCATCCGGAAGACAGCCATCTCCTCGATACTCGGATGCTCACTTCCACTGGGTCTGTGGTTGTCGGCAGTGACGGTCAATTAGAGCAATTTAACGAAAAAGACTCACTTGGTTAAATCAATGCCCTGCACTTGTCTATGACGTCTTGATAATGTGTTTGCAGCTCTTTATTACTGTTTAACAACCGTCAACAACATAGAACTAAAGTTGGTCAAACACTCACTTTGCCATGTGAAATATCATCAGTGTGTATTTCTCACTTAAACCTTCAGTGACGTCCTGCCTGAAGAAATCCACATCTATATAACGTGGTTATGTCTATAGAAACCATAAATATTAGACAGAATAGTGGAAACCTCGGTTGGCGAACAGCACCCTTTCCGAACTAATCAGTTGAAAAGTTTGAACTAAAAATTGCCCTGGTTGTTGTACCATAATTCAGTTGCCCAATAAGCCAACAATACAATGCACGCAGCAAATTAGCACTTAGTGACTAAGCGTGTGGCGTCGGTCTTGCCTCAACCCGTTCATTACAAGAAGGGTTCTCCAGATACCATTCTTGTTAAACTTATAATCATAGAGTATGTGTATGTGCTTTTTCATTTTGTGCCGGTACTATTACTGATA